GAATTCTTAGAATTCGACCTAAAAAATTCATAAAAGACTATGCATTCCATTCCAGTTTTATTTTATTTTATCCCGCTGTATTCTCTTTCTTTAGTTTTAAATTGTCCAAATAATCCATAAAAATTTAGTGTTTCCGAAAATATATATTAAAAATTGAAAACTTTTAAATAATTTCGCTAGTTAAGAAATTTTGAAAACCTACACCCTTTCAATATTTTTTCGGTTCAAAGTTATCGTTACAATAATAATAAAAAAATCAATCAGTTGTTTTATTCCCGCACAAGAAAAGAAGAAGCAGAGCATGGAAATGGTAAGAAACCTATCTCTTCCGTTAATACTTCCAAACCCACCACCCTCCGCATTCGCTTCCGCCTCCACCTCCGCCTCCACTTCCAAACCCTCCGCCTCCGCCTCCGCCTCCGCCGCTGCCTCCACTTCCAAACCCAAACCCTCCGCCTCCGCCGCCACTTCCAAACCCTCCTCAATAACCACTCCTGTCATCAATGACTTCAATTCCACCTCACACTCCCGTACTCGTACGTCCATCAGTAAATCATCCTCCGACCCCAACTTCGGCAAGCCATGGTTCAACCACCGTCTTTCTTCTTCAGGTCGGCATATTCTCGACACCTTACTTCACTCTCCCGCTGATTCCATTCAACTCGACAATATTCTAGGCCCCCATTTCACCCAACCACATCCACATCCCAGTGGTTTGTCCCGTGATATTCTCGCAATAATCAAAGCTTTAGGATTTCAGAAAAAAACCGAACTCGCTTTTGCCGTTTTTGATTGGGTTCGCAACCAACAAGGTTGTGCTAATCTTTTAACCGGTACTACAATTTCTGTCATAGTTAAGATTCTCGGTAAAGCAGGTCGGGTTTCATCCGCGGCGTCTTTGCTTCAAACTCTTGAAAAAGATGGGTTTGAGATTGATGTTTATGCTTATACTTGTCTGATAACTGCATATGCTATCAAGGGTAGATACAATGATGCTGTTTCTGTGTTCAATAAGATGCAACGAGATGGTTGTAGCCCTACTCTCATTACTTATAATTCCATTTTGAATGTTTATGGAAAAATGGGTATGCCTTGGTCTCGTGTTAAGGCTCTTGTTGATTCTATGATAATGAATGGAGTTGCTCCTGATTTGTATACTTATAATACCCTTATCACTTGCTGTCGTCGCGGTTCTCTATATGATGAAGCTCTTAATGTGTTTGATGAGATTAAGATGGCAGGTTTTATTCCGGATAGGGTTACATATAATGCATTGTTAGATGTTTTTGCAAAGTCTAGACGCCCCGAGGAGGCATTGAAGGTGCTTAAAGATATGGAAAGTAATGGCTTCTCTGCATCCGTTATTACTTATAATTCATTGATATCTGCTTATGTTAGAGGTGGTTTGTTAGAGGAAGCATTGCGGCTTAAAATTCAAATGGTGGAGAAAGGAATTAAGCCGGATGTTTTTACCTACAACACACTTTTCTCGGGGTTTGAGAAGGCTGGGAAAGATGAGTTTGCTTTTGAAGTCTATGAAGAGATGAAAGCGGCGGGATGCAAACCTAACATTTGCTTCTTTAATGCTCTTATCAAGATGCATGGTAATCGCAGAAAATTTGTGGAAATGATGAAGGTTTTTGAGGATATCAAGGAGTGTGGGTGTTCTACTGATATTGTTACTTGGAACACACTTTTGGCCGTGTTTGGACGGAATCAAATGGACTCTGAAGTAGCAGGAGTATTTAAAGAGATGAAAAGGTCAGGGTTTGTGCCTGAGAGGGACACTTTCAACACTTTAATTAGTGCATACAGTAGATGTGGTTCATTTGATCAAGCAATGGCTGTTTATAAAAGCATGCTGGAAGCTGGAGTGTCTCCTGATCTCTCTACCTATAATTCTGTTTTAGCTGCCTTGGCTCGAGGTGGGTTTTGGGAACTATCAGAAAAAGTTACTGCTGAAATGAAGGATGGTGGGTGTAAACCTAATGAAGTGACATACTCTTCTCTGCTTCATGCCTATGCCAATGGTAAGGAGATTGAAAAGATGAAAGCACTTGGTGAGGAGATTTACTCTGGCTCTATTGAACCACATCCTGTTCTGTTGAATACACTTGTTCTAGTAAGTAGCAAGAGTGAACTCCTAATGGAAACAGAACGTGCTTTTTTTGAATTAAGAAAAAGAGGAATCACACCTGGCCTTACTACTCTGAATGCAATGATTTCACTATATGGGAGGAAGCAGGTGGTGTCCAAGGCCAATGAGATTTTGGACTACTTGCACAAGAATGGTTTTACTCCAAGTTTGACCACATATAATAGCTTGATGTTTATGTACAGCCGTTCTGAGAAGTTCCAAAAATCAGAAGAAATCTTAAGGGAAGTTCTGAAAAAAGGTATGAAACCAGATAAGATTTCATATAATACTGTTATATACGCATATTGTAGAAATGGTTTGATGAAGGAGGCTTTGAGGATATTTTCCGAAATGAAAAATTCTGCACTTGTTCCAAATGTTGTAACTTACAACACATTTGTTGCAACTTATGCTGCTGACTCAATGTTTGTTGAGGCTATTGATGTTATTCGATACATGATCAAACAGGGATGTAGGCCAGACCAGAATACATATAACTCCATTGTTGATTGGTATTGCAAGCATAATCGACACGAAGAGGCAAACAGTTTTGTGAAAAACCTTGATAATATTGACCCACATGTTTTCAAGGATGAGAAAAGTAGGCTACTAGAGAGAATGGCAAGGAAATTGCCATGAGTTGGTGAGTGACTTGCTTCAGTTTTTACTAGAATTTGTAATATTTAGTTATAGATATAATATTTGGGTATGGAGTTTGGTGGTTCACCCAATGTAGTAGTGAACGGCGGGGTGTCACTACTCCCTTCATTGCAGTTTATTTGGAGAAAAAAGGGAACAGTATGTCTGCCGTCGATGCTTGCTGGTCTGGTTGGACATAAATAAAGATGGGAAATAAAAAAAAAACAGAAAGAGAAGGGGTAGGGGTTGGTGCTGAATATCAATACCATGTAGATAATATAGCAATGCTATCTAGAAAAGAAAAAAAAAACACGCGCAGCAAAACCTGTTGCTATAGTTTGAATTGTCATTTAGTGTAACGGTAGCAATTTATATGAATTATTAGGCTTTTGTTTTAGGAGCTTTATTAAAGATTATTCTTGCAGGTATAATTGATGTTTGAATGAATTTTATGTTTGTCATTTAAAACTCCAAGAACGCATTTTATTTCAAGCACTGTTTTGTGGCTGCTACTTCCTAGTTTTATGTTGTCATTGTCAAGCTCTGTTTTGCAGTTACTAATTTCATGTTTTTGTCTCTTGTAACTCTTGGAAATTCACAATTAATGGAACTATGTGCGACCAACCATCATTCCTGTTTAATTAACGATTCATCTAACTTATCTATTACTAATAAGAAAACCATGTGACTTTTATTCGTCTAGTTTGATTTAAGCGATTTGGCATAAAAGAGGCAAAAGTAGTATTAATGAGACAAAACTTGTTGTTGTGTTGAATAAAGTCTACCTTTGTAGTTAGTAATGCAGCATTATGCCTCCGGATGTTTCTTGTCCATGCCTTGCTAAAGAAGAATTTTTTTTCAATGCTACTGTCTTTTGTTATAGTTGCAAAATCATCTGTGGTAAGTTGGACACTTCTTTTCAGAAGAACATGAACTTGAAGATTTATTCTTGAGTACAGAATATACTTGAGTTTTCTCAACAACTAGGCTTCACAAGTGGATTAAAATTTATTACTCTAAGATGCTGGTATTTTCCGCTGCTTCTATGTGGAACAATACCCCAAGAATTCAATATGGTGAAAACTTTGTAATTTACTTGGCGTATGCTTTGAAACAGTTGTCACGCATGATTGTTTTGGCAGTTTAGCTGTATTGTTTCTCAGGTCTATCTTTAATATTTATTGGTGCCTTTGATTTGCATTATGAAAAAACGAGGTGATATCTGGTGATTGACACATGAAAAGTCTCTTTGAATGTCTCAATGCAACACTGTTTGCTACAATGCGAACACTTTATATCTTCTTTTCTTACGCACTTCTTTTTCTCCATCTGTCCTGGTGTGCAGTATCCTGTTTGATTTTAAAGTTTTCTTTTGTTTATCTTCAATTGTCGTTAGACAGAGTCGTCTCAAGTATTTGGAGATCATGTGTAGTTTTGTCATGGTTTAACCATGACAAAACAATTAGAGGCTCTATTTAATCATATTTTAACAATGGCAATGGTTTATGAGGCTCTATTTAACCGTGAAAATTTTTAGGCCCCTGCGCGGTAGTTCACCTTGCTCGCCCGCAAAGACAGCTCTCTCATTAACATTTTTGTGCATATTTTGTAGATATAGATGGCATGTTTTGCAGATGTGTTGAAGATCTTGGAGTGACTGCATATTTTTGGTTTTCTGCAAAAATCAAATTACTAACAAAAACTTCGAAATTATATCTCCTCCTTGATTTAATTTGTTCAGTTTGATACCTCACTTGGCTTTAGCCTTCTGGTATCACTTACCTTTTTGATAGCGAAGTACATTTTTCTTGTCCTTTAAAAAAGCAAGTACTACACTTGTATTTTATGGATTGAACTCTTGGTGCAGAAATTAAGGGACACTTTACTGTGAGAATTTATTATGATTTAAAACTGTATTTTCATTTTGGATCCATTTTATTCTTTTTTAGGAAAGAAATTGGAACTAATTAGTTATAGATATCATATATTATTATTGTTATTAGATGTTTGGTGGTAGATGGTGGGGATGAAAGCACTACATATGTAACATAGTAATAGTGGTGTATTTATTTCCTGGTGAGATGGAGGTCTAATATTACATTAGTTTAATCTGAGTGGATGTGTATATATGGCAATAAGGAGCATGGGATTGTGATTGTTGTCAATCCACTCCTCCACAGTAGCTAGCTAGTGTAACAGTAGCATGGATTAATGAACATGATTTTTAATTTCTGAAGAAACAGGTCTCAGAGAACGTGGCAGCGCCTTCAGGAACATCTTCCATTACCCAGTCATGGCCAACAGGGAAGTAAATTCCAGTCCTCGGGTGCGGAACCCAGCAGCATGAATATGACGACGATGAATCCACTGCTGCCTTCTTCCCTATACTACTACTCTTTGTTTTTTGATCAACCCGGTGTTGCGACCCAGCTTCCCTTCCTAAGACCAATTTGCAGAGCCCGGCAGTACTCTCCGCTTCCTTAGCATTTCTCCTGCAGCACCCAATATTATAGTAAGTTTCATTCATTCACTCACACTTGTGTTTACTCCAATATTGATTAATTAAAAGAATGAGTTAGTTACTATGATAGTATTGTTAAGTTAAGGATAATAGTTACCGGATATGCATCAACATGTTTGTTCTGCCCATGAATCAATATGTAGCTAGCTGCTAGTTGATATCAAGTATTGATACTATTGTGTGTGTGCCAATTCACAGAGTGCAGTGATGGTTATTTATAATGTAATGGACAGAATATGGGTCTTGCAAGTACGGATCCAAAAGGTTGAGAGAATAAATTCTTTTGCACATGAGAATGCTAGCAGCAAAAATATGCAGATATGTTCTTTTGGGGAAATCATTATAAACCCTTGCTTTTTTTCCCACTGCAACTATTTCAATTGGATCAAACGCATGTGTGTTTTCTTACCAAAAATATAAATGGGTATTAACGTCTATTTTCTTCTTGGCTCATTATTAGTATTTGTTTATAAGAATATATATTTCATTTCAGTCATGGCTAGTGACTATTCTCCGAGTGAAATGCGTGTGCCAATAAACACCATGCATGGATTATGGAAAAGAGTCTGAAAGTAATCTTATCTTTTTCTTCTTTTGCCTCACTAAACGTCAATTAAATGTAGCTTAATTCTTTGTTTTTTGATACATTGCATTTAGCTTGCTTTATTCTAATATATTCCACGGTCTTATATTATTATGTGTGTATAAATTTTGAATAAAACAAAATTATTAGTTTACTATGATAAAGCAATTTGTTTGACAATGTTTTATTGAAAGTATTAGATGTTAAAGTTGGGCAGTTCTAATTGATTATATGAGGGGAATTTCTTTTCCCAACTTAAAAAGGTGGGGTTCACACTTCTTAAAATTCAAAATTCCATTCAGATTCAGGTGTTTTCTAACACGAATATTCAGATGCATTTCATTCTTCGTAAAATTAAACGGTCACTCAATTTTTGTCAAAAAATAATTCAGAGTTGTATTTGTAAAAATTTATAGATGTTTTTGAAGATGCATCTCCGAAAATTTTCTTATCTATATTTTACTTATATATGCATTAGAATTAAAGCAACAATACATTGGATTTACTTAAACATACATCACTTAGACATATCAATGAACAATAAATTCAATTCAATTTACTGTGCATGTCGATTTGAGAAAAGCAACATTACAGGGACATACATTAACAGTTAAATCCTCACTCCCAAAACTACACAACTTAATTCTGGCAAGTAAGGAGAGATGCGATTTTGGAGTAAATGAAAAAAGAAAAAAAATTTAAACAAAAGATATATAATGAATTCATTAAGAAAAAAAATTTAAACAAAAGATATATATAATGAATTCATTAGTCACATATTTTTTTTGTCAAAATAGTTTAATGATTGGAATTTTACTTTTTAAAAGTGAGTAAGTGGGATATCACGAGTTTGAATTCGTGATCTTTATATTTGACATCTTTATACAATTATCAACTGAGCTGATTTAATAATTTTTTATATATTTTTAAATTGTATTTATTTTTATTTTTATTTTTTACACTTTTCACATTATTTTTGTGAATATTTTTATTAATATTGTTTTTAACGTAACATATGTTGTCACCCCACCTCGACCTACCCCTTTTAAGATGGATTAATTACAAGTGGGGTTAAAATGGACATGTTCATCCTTTTTGCCATTTCTAGTTCAAAGTTTATACATACTTATCCCTCCTCAATTTGGACTCATGGTCCTCTTAGATTTACTCTAATCCACCAAATTTTAGTATGTGTTTGTTGTCTATAAGATTTATTTGGTTAATCTGTAAACTGAACTAATACAATAGAAAATCGCAAATCAAATCAAAATTGCAAAATACCGCATTTGGTTCAGATGTGTTTGGACCATTTTTTACAAAATCGCACAGTTTGATTTGATTTGCAGTTTGTATTTTGAAAACCGAACTAAACCAAACAAAACTGCATTATGTTACAAATCAAATTTCACTTATCGCACATTCAATCTAAAATTAAAAACCTATTATGCCTTAACCTTATAAATATTCTTTTATTAATAATTACCGTTTTAGTTCCAACTTTCTCAAATCTCTCTTAGTAGTATTGCATATTCTTTTCACCTTTTTTTGCCATCTACATCTCATCTATTCTATTCTGATCTCTCCTCTCTTATGTTCTTTATTTTTCATCTTCTCATTTTTATGTTATTGTTTTCTCTTTTAATTACATTTTATCTTAGCTTTCTTCTCTAATATTACATCTATTATTTTCTTTCTTTTTCATCTTCTATAATTTCTCCTTTCATTCGTTTTTTTTCTTTTTTATTATAATATTTTAAATATTATTTTATGCTACTATTTTATGTATTTTATTCTATTTTTTTTCTAATTTTATTTGTGTATATTGAATGACTGGTTAGAATGATTATTTATAAATGAGAAAAAGTGTATACTGTTCACTCTAGAGGTGATACATAGGATTATAACCTATAACAAACTCTAACAAAAATTCTAACTAACACATGTTAATTATGAAAAACTTGTATTATAAGTATTAAGAACAACTTTAACGCAGAGTTGTTAAACCAAAATTCTTTATAGCTTACGTTAGTAATAAGAAATTTGCATTATAGGAGAGCTGACATGGCATCCAAATGAACTAAAATTTAGTTCCCATCATCTATATAGTTAACGTTAACTATGTGAAACCTATTATAATATTATTTAATATTAATAAAATATTCCAAATATTCCAACAACATTAAAGTAAGGATATGATATTTGAAAATAGTAACGGTCATATTATCATTTTTTACCTTTTATAAATTCTATAGAAATTTTAATTTTTTTTACACACAGTTTTACTTCTAAATTTTTTTCTTTCAATTTCCAATCTTATTTATTTATCAAATGGATCCGAACTAGTCGAATCCTTATTATAATTATATTCCTATGAAAATATAATTTTATTTATGTATTATTGTTGTGAATTTTGTATCATTTTTAATTTTATAATAAAATATATTTAATATTATTTTTAAGTTTTTAAGGTAAATTTTATTTAAAAAATTATATGTATTTTAATTAAAATAATTAAATTAATGATAACTTGAATAAAAAATATAAAATGTGGAGTCAAGTTTTGGTTTCTTATAAAGTAAAAACTACTCAAATCAACTATAAATTTTTTAAATCCTATAAATTAATTTGGGCCCACAAAAGTATCTTAGTTTATCCATTTAATTTACTCTCATTAAAGATGCTCTAAGATGCTATGAAAAGAAGTTTGACTAACAAGTTAGTTATTGAAATAACTAATTTGTAACTAATTCTTCTTCTTTCTCATTGAGTGTTAGATCTTCTGCAATTTTAAAAAAATTGGATAGTTGTGTTCATTTTGATATTAAACTTTGACTATCCTTACATGTTAGATCTTGTTCTTCCACATTCAATCTTGTTCTATTTCTCCATTTTTTCTCCATATTTTTTTTATCATTATAGATTTGTACCACATGGACTAGTTCATATTTAATTGAAGTTTCTCAGATAAACAAAATATGTGTTCCCTATCTTCTCTCAAAATTCACCCGGGTCCATTTTTATTTTACTCTTACTTTGTTTACCTTCGTCTTGTTGTGTTCGAAAGATGTAAAGAAATACTTCTTTCTCAACAAAAATAAAAATTTTAAATTCTCTCAAATATTCTCTTTCATTGTACATAAAAAAACCTATAGTGAAAGAGAGAGAATCAAACCCAACTTATTATAATTTAACTTTATAGATAAAGTCACAAATAATTTTTTTCTATGTAAAATATATCCCATTTAATTTTCGTAAACACTGACAAAAAAAGCTCATGAGTACAACACCAAACAATTTAATGGTTGAGCATTTCACTCCATGATGTCATACTTAAATCTTTTTATCTTATCTTTTAATCAACCCAAACTTATCACTTTGAAGTCTTCATAAATCCACCTTTGAAAATGGTCTTATTCCTTACTTTCTAGATAAACTACATACAGCCACTCAAGCTTTATTAAAGTCCTCCACTCTTTAGATAATCACTTGTCAAATCTTAAAAGCTTAAAGGTTTGGCATACAAGTTTAAAACTTTTTAAATTAACACTCTCTTGTTTTATTAAAATATTTTATTTAAATTATGGTGATTTTTAAGAAAGTAATTTGTTAACTTAATTTTTGTAGGTTTATATTTAATAAATGCAAATATATTCGTAAAAGTAATAATTAGTATTTTATTGATATTTTAAATAATAATATTTATTATAAATGAAATATTGTTATGAGAAGTAAAAAATACACTATATACAAAATATATTGACTCCAAGTTTGATTCTTTAAATTTTTTTTCCGTTTTGAGTAAAAAAAACAAAAAAGGTAAATGATCACTTTTCAAATTCAAATAGTATTAAGACATTGAGAGTTAGTTGAAAAAATAAATTTTAATTATAATTTATTATTTGAGTTTATTTTATTTTGACAACAATTTTATAAACTAACCATGGTAATAGTGTAAGAAGAAGAAGAAGAGTTGCGTTTGAAAGTAATGTAAATTGAGTGATTGAGTGATTGTGAAGATTTATGAAATGAATGTAGAATAGGAAGAGAGTTCTAATAATTTAAATTATTTATATTGCATAATTCTTTAGCGGATATGATCAAATCAAATCTTTTCAATATTTTTAAAAAATATTATATTAATATATTTATTATAATGAATTAAAATTATATTATTAAATTGATATAGAGAAAGGTTCGGAAGCACTATGTTATATTTAATAACTAATGACATAAATTATAGGAAAGTTGTTATATTTAATAACTAATGACATGAATTATAAGAAAGTTGTTATATTTAATTAAATAGAAGGAAATAAGCAAGACAATTCAAAGACTTTGTCTCCACCCAAGGAAATCAATGAATGAGTCACCTACTAGCAATTACGTAGGAAAAATACTTTCCTATGTACGAACTCAAATGTAGTAATTATTTGGACCTGAGAAAATAGAAAATGTGTAAACGACAACGACGTGTATTCTTCCTATCATTTTAGTAATTTAAAATATTTGTAAAATTAAATTACAACAGAAAATACACAAATTAATC